TGGAATTTAAAATTCCACTATAGTGGAGATTAAAATTTTATTCTCCACTAGTTGAACTTAAAATTTCAATTTCCACTGGATTCTTGTCAGTGGAAATTGAAATTTTAAACTCCACTAGTGGAATTTTAAATTCCACTGAATTTTAATTTCCACTGTAACATATATAAAACTAAAGACATTTAGGAAATCAACGAGATATTATAAGTACGATAGATAAATAGATTTTTTCTATAAAAATCGTTTGGCATAATTTATTTTTTTTATGAAATATTTTCCGATGGATCAATGCCATAAATTTAGAAATCAATGTGACAGATCTAACTCGCCGAATGGTCTAATAGATAAGTAGAACGCTGACATAAACAATATTCTACGTAGATATTTAGCAGAACTTAGTGATGATAGATATTATTATGAGTATAGACATGACTACTGACAGGCTATGTCTATGGGAAAACGTTCTGAAGAATTTCTTGATGAAAAGTGTAAACAGAGATGCTTTAAGAAAAATTTGATTTTCTTCTTTCTCGTCAACTGTCACAGCTATAATTAATCTGACAACAATCGAGTATCATATCAAGTTTTTATAGAGAATGCACGAATGTCATTTTTTTACTGCATTACCTTTTAGGTCATGAACCCAGCCCTCGTCTACTACCCATTTCAAAATGCTATGGTTCATGGCTATTTTCTCAAATAACTCGAGAACAAAAAGTGATAGAAACATGCAATTTTCACCATTTTATGCAGAAATGTTTAATGCATCTTTTGATATATGGAGGAGTGAGAAAAGACGAGATCACGAGATATCGAAGTCAGGACGAAGTGTTACCTTAAACTACATGGTTTGATAGTCCTATTTATCTTCAACAGCACGTACGTTCGAGGTCGACAGTTCTCTGTTTTCATGGAAAGCTAAACAATTCATAACTCAGTCAAAACTACACCAAAATTTTCCCTAATCCTCCAGTTAGGCTCCCGTATTTTCTAGATTCCAGTAAAAGTTTTAAAAATGAATAGAAAGTATTTTGCTTTTTAAAAGGTTTTCCTGAAACGTTTGGAAGTAAGGCAATGCTTTTTTGAAATCTTAACTACAGCACCGGATTCAGCTGTGAGTTGTGGTCAAATGCAGAGTATTAAATAAACCTTTGGTGTAGTTTGGATCGATTTTGACTGACGGGGAAGGGTCCCAGAGTGCCAACGTGAATTTTCCTTGAAACATACTTCATTATGGGTTATTTTTGACGCTAAACGCAAATCTGATATCCGTTCATCCCCATACGGTCTTTTAAAACCTCTGTTTAAATTCGGTGTTTTCATCGACCCATAGTGAACTTTCGTCGAAACAGATTCTGAAAGTGCCAGATTGTAAAGCGTATCAAATAATCCCCGAGGACACATTTTGAGAAATAAAGAACAAGTTTTCGTTGACTTATAGGGTTTTTGTATGGGAAAAATACCTCAATGATCCTTATTTTGGCTGGATAAAATACTGAAATTTTTATAACTAAGTGAAAACTTGTCCTTTGTTTTTCAAAACTTGTCCACAGGGTTCTGGCACTATCAGAATTTGTTCAGATGAAAGTTCACTATGGGTTCCTGAAGATACTGAATTTGAACAGGGGTTCTGTAAGACCGTATGGGGATGAACGTATATCAGATTCGAGATCAGTATCAAAAATTAGTCATAAACAAGTCTATTTCCAGGAAAATTCGAGGTTGCACTCGAGGACCTTTCCTCGTGCGTTATGAATTTTTTAGTTTTCCATCAAAACAGAGAGTTGTCTACTTCGGACATACATGCTGTTGTAGAGGATACTTAGAGCTATCGAACTATGTAGTTTAAGGTAACACTTCGTCTTGGCTTCGATATCCCGTGATCTCGTCTTTTCCCACTTCTCAGCTGCGCTACCCGAAAATCGGATTTCAAAAACCATCCATATACAAAAAGATGCAGTAAACATTTCTGCACAAAATGGTGAAACTCGCATGTTTCTGTCACTTTTTGTTCTCGAGTTATTCGAAAAAATAGCCATGGATCATCGCATATAGCAGACACGCTCTTTTATTTCGATTGAAAAGAGGATTCTATTTCTTGTTACATTGATGTCAATATTTTCTATTCCAGAATATATTTAATTTATTCGAAGAAGAAAAACACTTATTGGTGCAATTTTTCTAATCTATAATTAATAATGGGCATTGTTCCTTTGACAGCAAATGAATTATTCAACTGGAATAATATTATCATTATTGGATGGCTTGCATTAATCTTTGCACCATTTCGAAAATTATCAAAATATTTTATTCTATTACCAGCATTATTTCTATCAATAATATATAGTTTGATATTATTTAAAACAGTATTTTTAAGAGAAAAAAATAGTCCACCATTAGATTTTTTTCATTTATCAGGATGGATGACTTTATTAAAAGATCCTTCAATGATTGTTGGTACAACGAGTCATTTTTGTATTATGGATTTATGGGTTGGTAAATGGATAGTCTATGATTTTTATAGTAAATATACTTATGGATATAGTATTACTCGTAATTCAAATGGTACATATGCAATTAATAAATCATGGACATATCAAAGAATTCTATTTACTATTATACTTCTCTTAAGTTATATGGTTGCACTACTTGGATTTTTAGTTTATAATATAGCAAAATATTCATTTTTAAAAAAATATAAAACTCAACATCGAATTGATGTTGAAAATGAACAAGGTTACATTGAAAGAATAGGTATTAATCAACAACATAGTGATTTATTAAATCCTCATTCTGTTCGATTTGGTGATAAACTTCCATCACCATTACGTAAAATTTATCATTTTATAATCGGTATTTTTGGATTAATTGTCTTATTTACTCTTGTTCTCCCAGCTTATATTGGTTTAGTAATTTATTGTCGAATTATTTATCGAAAGTCATCATCATCTTCTTCTATTCATCAGTCAGATATCGTTCCAAATAAGTTAATTCCTGAATTTGTTCGTAATGTAACAGCCAATATGAAATTTACATCATTTACTACACCGATAAATAAAAGGAATTGGTTTTGGTATTTAAAATTTCTATTATTACAAATAGCAACATTTATTGAATATATTCCCAATTCCTTTAATCCACATGTATTATTTCAATCATTAGAAGATTATTTTACAAAAATATATGATGTACCTTATTATGCATTTGGTGATGGTATTGGCATTAATTCCTATGATTTATTAAAACGATATTTACAAGATATTCCTCCACGTAAAGATTTTGAATCATTAGGTTGGAAAGTATCATCATCTCAAGCCACATTTTGTGATTTTACAACAATTTTTCTTTCATCAGACAATCCTGATATGGCATTAGGTCGTCAGATTATATTTAAATGGTTACACGCTTTAGCGACGTTCGCATATTACGTAGGGGGAGTTTGAAAAAAGATGACCAATTATGACATGGGGAAAAGGGACCCATTGGGGAAAGACGATGCAATAAAAAATATTTTTAGATAATTTTGTAATTTCACTCCTGTTCGAATATTAGAACTGTATATTCTGATTTAAATTATGCAAGCAGTGTCTCTATTTAGTATAGTAGTAGTTCAGTATCCCTAGTATAGTACAAAAGTGACAAGAATTTGATAAAAAACAGATAAGGATCAGTTAAGAACCCTGTAAGAATTGGACAAGAAAAGGGCAAGAACTGATGAAAACTTCCGATGTTTTTCTTCCCTTCTTTAGTTAGCTGTATAGTTCATTAGTGAGAATGTAAGAGGTCGCGAGGCATTTTCAATGCGATCAGTCTTACCTACCTTGAAGAAACTTTGAAAAAATTTCCTAGAAATCACTGATTAGGCATGCACCAGTTTTGGTTTTTAACCAGTTAACCGAAACCGATCATAACCGAAAATGTTGTACAAGTTCTTGAAAATACGTTTGACACAATATGAAGGAAGCATCTGTTGTTCAATCAACAACTGTTCATCCCAGAAGAAAGATGCACGGTGTACAAAATCNCAGAAATAAGCCAGATAAGTGGTATTTCTTCACCATAAAGGAAAAGTTTCTCAAAATTGAGTTTAGCAACAAAAGTATGGCAAATTTAATTTCCTAGATTTTATGTGCTGAACGCACCTTTATACAAATCGATCTTCACGATGAAAACTGATATTTACTGCTTTTCATCGTGAAGATCGATTTGTATAAAGGTGCGTTCAGCACATAAAATCTAGGAAATTAAATGGTGAAAAGTCAGAAATACCACTTATTTGGCTTATTTCTGATTTTGTACACCATGCATCTTTCTTCTGGGATGAACAGTTGTTGATTGAACAACAGATGCTTCCGTCATATTGTGTCAAACGTATTTTCAAGAACTTGTACAGCATTTTCGGTTATGATCGGTTTCGGTTATGACCGTTTTCGGTTAACCGTAACCGGTGCATGCCTATCAGTAATGCTTATATAGTATGTGCTTCTGCAAAATAAAGCGGTGAGTGGCTTTTAGGAAGAATTTCATACGAAAGTGATAGGAGCGTCTTATCAAAGTCATAGCTCATTGTTATTTAAATCTTACCTGATTCTTATCGGATTTGTACGAAATTCTTGCCATTTTCGTGCAGACTTCTTATGTAAGAATCCGATAAGACTCGGATAAGATTCTTACCAGAAAAACGAAAAATGTTTGTCTAGAGATAGAGATCTGCATTAGATGGACAAGTCCGTGGATAATGCTCAGTTTGACAGATTGGTTCCTGGACATGAAGATAAGTGCACAGGCGTTACAGTTTGGGATCTCTTTTGGCTTTTAGATTATTCTTGCTTAGCAGATCTGTTACGAATTACTCGTTCTACCACTTTCGGTAAATATCCATACAGGAGAAGAATTATTTCGTTTGAAATAAATAAATTACACAAAAAATCAGCATTTTTTCAAACATACGCCAGAACACAGCACTGTACCCGTCATGGACAGAGCATGAACAAAGACAAATTTTTTGTCCATAGAGAAATAGACAAATCGGATGTTATGTCCATGGACACTCCCAAGCAAAAATGCTCTGCGGAGAAAATCTAGCTCCATCGCCTCCATAACCGGGCGGTTATTCACTTGATGGATCTAGGTAAATGTGCTTTTTTACCTAGTTAGCTAGCTCCAGCCTAGTAGTGAACCGAGCACTAGGTTATCATAACCGAGTAGGAGCGGTAGGCTGACCTAGGTTAACCGCCCAATTAACCGACCGGTATTTTTTGACAATTCTTTGATAATCCGAACATTTCGGACCTCTATTTACAAGTTTGCTTTAGTTGTAACTGGTTGTTTACACTTAACGAGTAGGAGTACAATACTCCACATTTTAGGATGGCAAGACATACTTGAAGTTTTTAATCAACAGAAAATTCTCCTTATGTTTAAGGTAGTGAGAGGATTGACACCTAGCTTTTTAGCAAACAAAATTTCTCGTCTACATCATAATCATAATTATCAGACTAGAACTCAAGTAGAAATGAAAATTCAGGGTAACTGGAAAACAGAGAGGCGTTTTATGAGTAAAACATTTGAAATGTCTTTTTTTCCGTATGCAATCAAAAAATGGAACGAATTACGATAAGTTGCGAGCATGTAAGACTTTAAGAACCTTTAAAACAAAACTTAATCCACAAATAGACGTACTAAGGGTCTTTCGAGTTTACGGTGTTAAGCGTAAAATAGATAAACTATACTATCAAATGCGATGCAACTTCTCGTCATTAAATAATGATCTCTATATCAAAGGATTAGTGCCTGACAAAAATTGTTTATGTGGGAAGAAGGAAACAGTAAAACATTATTTACTATATTGTTCTCTTTACAACGTACAGCGT